CTGGACTAGAAAGCCACATGGGGCTGGACCGGGTTCCAGCATGTGCCACCTCCCTGCAGGCACAGTGGGGCAGAGGTGAGACTCGGTGCGGCATGCAGGAAACCAAGGGCGTTTCCCCAAGGGCTGGGCCTGGTGCATGGGCCTCACACGCTGTGCCGGGTCCTGTCGCCATGGCTCAGAGCACCCCACTCCCACTGCTGCTGCAAAATGTAAATTATGGACCCTCAAGGTGGGGCTGGGACCCTCCAGGGGGGGAGCTGGGACCCTGGGCAGGGGGTGCCTGGGGCCCTGGGCGGAGGGGCTGGGGCCTTCCAGGGTACCTGGGATCCTGGGTAGGGGGCTGGGGCCCTGTTTGGGATAGGGGCTGTGGCCCTCCAGGGGGGAGCTGGGGTGCTGTGGAGGGGGAATTCCATGTGCTGTGGGGGAGGTGCTGCACCCTGGGGTGCTAGGGGACCCACCCCTCCTGAGTAGCCGCCGCACAAGTTCTCCCACACCCACAGTCCCCCCACCAATTGCCCCACACACCAACCCACATCCCTCCATACACACCCACCTGCCTTCCCCCACACCTATTCCCATCCCCTTCCTGCAAACATCATGTCCCCCCATCACACACCCATCATGTGCGAAGAAAACCAAAAGCACACATCAACACATATAGGTATTTAGAATTTATTTTATCATGATGACAGAGATACTGGTAGGCTTCCACGTTGGTTTAACATTGTAAATATAACAAAAAAGCATTGCCCAACTTATCACTGTCTGTCTCTCTCTCTCTAGATATATATATGTGTGTGTGTGTGTGTGTGTGTGTGTGTGTGTGTGTGTGTGTGTGTAGAGTGGTCTTTTGTTTTAATTGTGGAAGAACATGAATTTGGGGGTATTTTTAAAAATGGATTTGGGATGCTGTTGCAGCAGTCTAGCTGGCACAAGGGGTAGTGTCTCCAGGTCCCAATTGACTGGGCCCCAGAAGCTCCTGAGAGTGAGTAGCCCTGAGCTGCTTGTTAAGGCAGCTTTTTGTACAGATGGGGCCAGGACAGGGCAATTTTTCATACTTCTGGGGACAACACAGGTGCTGACCCCAGGCTCTAGCTCCCCCTGGCTGCAGATTTGGGAGGAGCTAGGCAGGGTTATATTGCCCCACGTGGCACAATTTGCTCCATAACAAAGTGCGTGTCCAAGCACGTGCGCCGAGGCAAAAGCCCTGGTTCAAATTTGTACCACTTCTATTTGAGCTGCTGCAAGCACATGCACTTGCATATGTTGAGACGCCCATGGAGGGTTACACTCTAATTTGGAAGGATAGGGTTGGGAGAAAAGGGAATGGTGTTGCCTTGTATATCAAAAACACATACACTTGTTTCCTGGTACAGGAGGAAGAAGATGGGAAAGCAGAATGCATTTGGGTGAAGATGAAAGGTGAAAGACGCAGTTCTGATATAATGGTGGGGATTTATTAGGCCATCTAATCAGGAAGAGGAGGTGGATGAGGTACCCTTCAAGCAGGTGGCAAATCTATCCAAAATGGTGGATGGTACTGATGGGAGACTTCCATTTTCCAGACATATGCTGGAAGAATAATGCAGCCAAACATAAAATGCCAAGCCAGTTCCTAACTTGTGTGAAGGACAACCTTTTGTTCCAGAAAGTGGAGGATACAACTAGGGGATCATCTATCTTGGATTTTGTCCTGACCAAACAGGAAGAACTGTGGAGGATGTGAAGGTGATGGTTAACTTGGAAGAAAGCAATCACAATATAGTAGAATTCCAGATCCTGAGTCAAGGAAAGCATGAAATCAGCAAAATTAGGCTGCTAGATTTCAAAAAGGCGGATTGTATCCAACTCAAGGAGCTAATACGCATGGTGTCATGGGAAGATAGATTGAAGGATAAAGGTGCCCAGGAGGGCTGGGAGCTTCTAAGGGCCACAGTATTGGAAGCCCACCAAGAAACTATCTTGATGCAATGAAAGAACAAAAAGAATGACAAAAGAGACCAATGAAGCTGCACAAGGAGCTTCTAAAATGCCTTAAATACAAAAGGAAAGCATACAGGCTATGGAAGAATGGGTGGATCAGCAAGGAAAACCAGGAAACAGCAAGAACCTGCAGGGACAAAATCAGGAAGGCAAAGATAAAGAAGAACTGCACCTGGCAAAGGAGATAAAGGATAACAAGAGGAGGTTATATAAGTATGTTGGCCAGAAAAGAAGGACCAAGGAAGTTGTAGATCCTTTATTAACAAGCCAGGAAGAACTCCTAACTGAAGATGCAAAGAAGGCAGAGCTACTCAACAGCTACTTTGCTTCAGTCTTCACAAAAAAATTACACTGAAGCAAACACCTAATAAGGATTATCTGGATAAGGAAGAGGGCAAGCTGAGGGAAAAAATAACAAAAGTTAAGGTCAGAGAGTTTTTGTTGGGTCTGAATGAATTCAAGTCAACAGGGCCAGATGAACTTCAGCCCAGGGTCCTGAAGGAACTGGCAGAGGAGATCTCGGAGCTGTGGGCAGTGATCTTAATGAAGTTGTAGGACAGGGGTTTTCAACCTTTTTTAACAAGTGTACCCCTTCTGACTCAAAGTTTCATCTCTTGTACCCCCTTATATTTTTTTCTTGTTTTTAAGGGGGGGCAGAATGAGGCCTCTGTGGTGCGGGAGGGGGTGGGGCTGGGGCAGGCGCTGCACAGCTGGGGCAGGACACAGCTGCGAGTGGCTCATCCAGGGGGCATGTGGAGGGGAGGTGACTCTCACCTCTGCGCGCACCTCAGGAGGGCATGGGGGTGGATGCCTCCAGATCTGCATGAAGGGTGGGGCGGGCTGGGCTGCCCCAGTGGTGGGGGAGGTAGTGGAGCTGGGGCAAGCTCAAGGGCTGCCTAGCCGGGGTGGGGCATGGGACCGAGCCACCTGGGGGGCATCAGGGGTGGCTCCCACTACTACGTATACCCCTGGGAGGGCATGGGGGGCATGTGCCCCCAGATCTAAGCAGGGTGGGGCAGGCTGCAGCCAGGACAGCGCTGGGCTCTTCCCAGAGAAGGCTGGGCTGGGCTGCACTTGGGGTGGGCAGTGGCGTCACTGGGAGGAAGTTTGATGGGGGACTATGGCAAATTCTGGAGTGGCTGCAGCCCCCCACCCCATAGCCCCACTCCCATAGGCCCCTGCTGTGAGGGAGGGAGTGGGGCAGGAGCAGGTGCTGCACTGCAGGGTGGAACCTGGGATTGAGCCATGTGCACTCTGGGAGGGCATGCGGGGGGGGGGGGGC